ACTTGCCCCTTATGTAAAATGGGCTACTCAGGGGATTAAATGATTACAATCCAAGCGGAGCACTTAGGATGGGGCCCAGGGAGAGCCTCCGTCACTGCTGTAACTGTTCATTTCCTCCTGAACGTCATCTCCACCCTCTCTTCTCCACCTCTTCTGCCATGACCACCCTGTCCTGCTACACTTTGCACAAAAGTCTGATCATGAATATACCCATGTGGCGCTCTTTGCTTTTGTGATGAAGCTGGGCTTGCATGGCCCTGGGGTGGTTCCCCCCTCTGCTCCCTCCCCTCCCGGCTCCTCCCTGCCCCTCACCCCTTCCACAGTCCTCAGTGTCCCAGCCACCTCTCACGGGCTGCTCCCCTCAGACGGCCCCCAGGACATGGTCAGGCTCTCACAGCACGGAGCCCTTGAGGGTGAGGTGCGGGCTGGCTTCCTCACTGCTGACTTCCCTGGACTGGCACGTGGCTGGCACACTGAGCCCACTTTGCTGGTCCCCGTGTGACCTGCACAGCAGCTTCTGGGTGTCGGGTCCCTCAGCCCGCCTGCTCTAACCCACTCCTTTCCTGCTGCGCCTCTAGCTCTGTGTGCAGCTGTTTTCCTCGCCTGTTTGTAAGTTTGGGGAGATAACATCTGTCTTCTTTATGTATGTGCATTTCATGTGTTATCTGATGCTGACAGAAATCCCCAAGAAATGAAGAAGAGAAATGTCCAAAAGTAGATGCATATGCATTGGTGGGACAGCAACTTTTGGCTTTATAATGACATACTGTGTAGTGGTCATTTAGGTCGATGAAGTTCCGCTGTGATCTCTTATGCAAGAATGTAAAATAAATTTTAAAAATAATCCAAATAACTGCACTGTCTGGTCATCGGCTCTGCTGTGTGGCTCTGGGCATTTCTCTGGTCTTCTGTCTGGGGGTTTACGTAGGTGTGTGCTTTGCAGGGGAGTCAGCTCCTAGGTGTCCTCTCTGGCCCTGTGGATGGAGGCTGGCGGCCGAGTCACCACCCTCTGGCTGTGCCTGGATCTCACGGTTAGGAGTCCTGGCCTGGAGCACAGGAAAGCTGGGGTGAGGGAGCAGACCTGGGGAGAGGGCCAGGCCTCTGGGCCCAGGTGGGAGATTATGCACTTGAAGTTGCTCAGAACAGTCAGTGTCACCCTCCCGACAGCTGAGCGAGGCTGACCGATGACAGCTCCTCTTCCAGCCCCTCCTCCAGAATAAATTTCATTCTCTCCCACCCCTGCTCATCCGTCAGGACCACGTTATAATTTGTCAACATGGGTTCCATCACAAGGCCCCTAGAACCAGGCACATGTGGCTGGGATGTTCTGCGACATCTTGGGGCACGGCTACCTTCCTTCCCTCACCTGGACGTGTCTTCCCTCAGCTACTCACATGCCCTGACAGCTCTTATAACTGTGAGCAGTGAGAACACCTAGGGCTCTGTCAGATGCATTTAGACCAAACTAAGTATTCCTTTGAAAAGTGGATCCTTTGAATGGAATGTTTTTTGAAGTTCATCCTTACTAAGTTCTGTTACGTGAACTAGGCGTCGTGTGGTGCTGACGGAGCTGTGGTTTCTTCCTCAGAGCCTCTCCCTTCCCCTCGTAGCCACCTTCACATCTCACCAGGGCCTGGCCAAGGATCTGTAGCTTACATCGTATCTCTGAAAACTCAGTTTTGTGAGAACTCAATCCACGTTAGGGAGTAAGAAAGCTCTGTGGTCCCAAAGACTCGGGACAACGTTAGATTAATCACAGCCTGTATAGCTGACAGGTGCGGGGCTCTGAGATGCCCTAAAGGAAGAGCCCGGCACAGCAGCTGTGTTCTCTGATCTGAACTGATAACAGCATCTCTTGGATGAGAAGATTTTGTAACATTTTTGTGCCGTCAGATTATTTTGGGACTTACTAGCTTGTTTATATAGCAAGAAAGAATGGGCACACATTCTGAAGGTCCTGAGTCACTGCTAGTGAGTGAGCGCCGCCTGTGTCTCCCGTGAGCCTGGAGCTTGGGAGGTGATCATCTCTCTGACGAGTGAGTACCTCCTGGGCCTGAGTCTAGAGTCCACTCTCACCACGCACAGAAGGGCGTCCCTGCTCTCCCAGCCCCACCCTGGTTTCCTCCCTAGGCCATCTCTGGCTTTTTGGTTCTTTTCTTTTTCCTTTTACCTGGGTGATATATGATACAATTTTATGTGTCCTCTTGGCAGTTTAGCTGGGACAAGAAACTTGCATAACAGTGCTGAGCTGTCCATCAGTATTTGGAGAACTTCCCAGGAGAGCCCGTGCCTTTGTGAATCAGCGAGGACATTTATAAGGCAGTAAATCCCCCTTCAGAAACGGCAGCAGGTTTAGCTTCTGGTCAGCCACTAAGTATTCCTGGGTAGTTCCACTTCTAGCTTTTACAGAGAACATTGTTCACTACTTAGGGAAATAGACACTAACCCAAGAGCAAATTTCTCTCTTTACAACTGAGGAAATCATTATTTTCCCTTCCCCCCGGGGACAGATACTGCATCACTACAGCTGTTCAAGTGCCGTGGGGTGTTTCTCTTGTGAAATGCGGCTCTGTCACAGACAAAGCTGCCAGCTGCAACGTGACAGGACTTCAGATGAGGGTAAACCGAAACAAAGTGCAACTGGCAGAGCAGTGGATTTAAACAGCAGGTTGAATTTGTGAGTAATGTTATACAGAGAACTATCTTGGAAAACTTTCAGGCCCGGGAAACTCAACTCAGGCACATTGGAAACTCACCCCTGGCAGGGGCCCGGACAGAGCTGAATTCGTCCTGCGGCGGGCACTGCCCGATCCGGGTTTTTGTTTTTAGCTCACATTGTAGATGACTGATTTTGAGGGTCACAGGAAGTTCCAATTATGCAGAGACTCGTGGTCAGGGAGATGTGAATGTTAAGATTGCAAAGGCGAGAGGGGAAAAGCTCGTGTACAAGAGAAGACCCAGAACAGGAGGTTCTGCTCTAAGGGATGAGAGTTGGTATGGAACTAGAATAAGACAAGGTTGCAGCTTAGGTATTAGTCATTAATCCACCTTTAATTAGTCAGAACATGGGGGAAAACGGAGAAGTGAACATCAGATGGGCACTGGGGCCAGAGGCGGGTGCTTCCCGGAGGTCCTACAGCGGGCTGGGGGGAACAGATGGCAGAGCCCCACCTTCAGCCACAGAGACGAGGGGCAGAGAGACCACCTGCCTAACAAAAGCCAGGACTGAGAGCTGACTCCACGGAACCATAACCCCAGTTCTGTGTTGGGCAAAATTTGCCAAGGCTGTGTGTCCCACCACATGAAAAGCCACTTTTGTGCAGCTGCGAATTGACACAGATTATCAGAGAAGAAATGCTAAGTCTCTGGGCGCTCTCTGGTGAGCTGGGACTTAGCAGCCAGGCAGGGGGAGATGAGCCCGGCTGTGCAGAGTTCTGGGTGCCCCGCCCGAGGTGGGACGCAGCCAGGGCACGGCTCTCACAGAGCTCAGCTCCCAGTCTCCAGTGAACAAGTAAAGAAACCAGATCTTCCCAGGTAGCAATGCGTGGTTAAAAAAATAAAGCAAATTCAGCAAGGTAGTAGAGGCTGCCTGGGGTGGAGGGTGATACCTTTGGTGACCCTCTGCCTTAGATAATCAGAGAAGAGACTCACTAAGAATTTCTGGGTTCAGAGGAGACCTCCAGGAATAATTCTACGTTCCAGGAAAACTACTCAGAGCTAACCACCTCCTCCCCGACATCAGCCACTGTACTGGGCTGCAGTGTCCCCCCGCAAATTTCCACATCTATGCAGAACTCCAGAACATGACCCCATTCAGACATAGGGTTTAGATCTTATTAGTTAAAGATCTCGAGACAAAATCCACCTCGATGTAGAGGTGACTGGTGTCTTTCAAGACAGAAGGTGATGTGGAGTCAGACACGGGGAAGGAGGCCACATGAAGATGAAGGCGGAGATGGGAGGGATGCAGCTGCAGGCCTGGGAGTGCCTGGACCACCGGAACTGGGGAGGGAGGCAGGAGTCTCCCCTAGAGCCTTTGGAGGGCGATGGCCCTTCTGACACCTTGACTTCGGACTTCCGACCTCCAGGTTAACTCCTGTTGTGGGAACCACCAGACTGGTGGCAATTTTTGGTACTAGCCCCAGGAAACTAAGACAGTCACGCAGAGAAATACCAGCATCTTCAGGACACCGCAGTGTCTGGGGCACACGGGCCCCACCAGGACCAGCATCTAACAACATCTAACTGAGTGTGTAACCGCTCAGTTCCGTGACCAGGCTTATGGTGTGAGAGTGACAAGAACCAGGGGATTGGCAGGGGTGCAAGAAGGTGCTTCCCCACTCCCGGGGTGCTGGGAGTCCCCAGGGGCTGTGCTGAGAAATCGACCCCGGCCAGAACTAGAGCAGTGCTGGGCTGTTGTCTGTTATCCTGGGAGACAGCCCCCCGCCTGGCCAGCCTGGTGGAGAGCCCCAGTTCCGGGCGGGAGCCTGCCTCAGCCAGCACCCCTGACCCGGAGGAGCCCATCCTGTGGTGTCCTGGGCAGCGCCGGGCCGAGACACCCAAACACGTTTGTCTTACAAGTCATCTGCCACTTCTGCTCAGGGTTCAGCGGACAACTCCGGAGCAGACTCGGGAGTAATTCTGCAGGGTGAACTGCACTACCGACCTGGGGTGAGGGGAGCAGCCAGTGGCCCCTGCCTCCCTGGTCCCCACATGCCCCTCAGCACCCCCCACCAGCCCCGGTACCCGAGGGAGCTGAGGGGCATGCCCACAGATTCCTTACGTTCTACTGAGTGGAGTACCCACTGACAGAAGGAAACAGAATTTAGCAAGTTGGGTTGCAAATAATGGATGCAGTGCTGAGATCCAGAGGGAGAGGTCTGAGATGAAGAATGTCCATATGAGCAGCTAAATACCCAGCTCATTGCTATGGTCCTGTCCTCAGCTCACAGGTGGGGCCATGTCTGCACCCTCAGCCCCACCCTCGCCCTGCATCCAGCTCCCACAGGCGGACGTGTAAGGAGCCCCAGAGAAGCAGCAGAAGCACCTGTCTGCCCAGGTCCCCAGCACATCAGGCCTCAGAGCCAGTGCTTGCCTGTCCACCCAGCCGCTCTGTCACCCGACAGCCTCGGCCTGGTTTCTTGGCCTTGTTGTCAAGCCCGACGGGGTGAAAGCCACATCTCTGCCGCAGATCACCGTAGTATTCCACGGGAAGGTTGCCAGGGAAATGAGAACGCTAATGTCAGACCACACTGAGGCCACCCAATAAAGAGACAGTTGTGCGAACGTAGCTGAACAGTTAGATTTTTGGTGTCCAGTGGGACAGGCACTGATCTGATGTGAAAGACGATCAATTCAGTTGATCCCAAATAAAGATGAGTGTATGCTGTGTACACGTTGTCCATGTACACACACTCTCTCGACAAGCTCCCGGTTATCCCAGCATGGAGAACGTAACTTGATTTTCTGGTTGTCTTGATTTCCTCCTTGTGGTTCTTCTCTGGGTCTCTCACTAACAATCGCGTCACCCCAGGAGATGAGGGCGGGAGCTGCAAGCTAACGCGGTATCTGCCCTGCTCCCAGAGCTGGCCGCCTGCTCCATGTGCTCCTCCGACTCACCTTCGCGATCTGCACGCACCAGGTGAGCAGGTGCTGGGGGCCGATGCTGTCCTTGGGCTTACGGACATGGTCCAGGAGGCAGCCGAAGGGCATGAACTGTGTGATGAGCTGCACCGGGGAGGCCAGGCAGATGCCCAGCAGGTGGCACGTGTGAGGACTGTCCACACTGGCCATCACGTAGGCTTCCTGCGTGAGGAGAGAAGACAGTGCGTCAGAGAGGCTCCCCAGGGTGGCTAAAGGGATGGCAGAGCCTTTCCGGGTATGAAAGACAAACATGATTATGAGTTTGGAAGATGTGCTTGTGGAGGACAAGTTAGCCCTTTAGACGCCTGGTGCAGGGAACAGGAACCCCGCGGCTCCCAAGCGCTCTGTGGGTGACACCCTCCAAGTGCACGTGGAGTCGCCTCACAGAGGGACCCAGGCAGCCCGGCCACCGGCAGAGCGTGGGCTGAAGACCAGGCCTGACGTCTGCACGTCTGGGCACTGCAGAGCCCTTAGGGACGCCACCTCAAGGCCAGAGAGGCTGAAAAAGTTGGCAGGGCCAGCAGGGATCCGCACTTGGCCCTGTACCCTGACGATGAAGTGCCCACCGGCTCTGGAATCCTCGCTGTGGGCACTGTGGAGGGCGAAGGTGACAGCTCCCGCAGGGACCCTGGGTGCCTCTGCCAGGCGCACTGGAGAAGCCATTTTGGTGACCCAGGTTCCAGCTCTGCAACAGACAGGACACTAAACCTACAGAGATGACAGACTCCAAGGGCTGCCAGCACCCATCTGCAGGGCTGGCCTGTGTGGCCCTGCCTCAGTCTTGGGATGGGAGCCCCGTGCAGCCCTGCAATTCCGGGGAATGTCATGACAGGGGCCTTTGTCCAGCACGGGCCCATGACTGCAGACTTCATTCCGACCTGCTAGTCTTGGGTGGAGGAAGCTGATCTCATTTACAACCGTGAACACAACCAGGCCTCTCTTGTCTGACTGGGAATTAGGGAATGCTCTATTTCAACCCATAAATTCCACCTCTTTCCACTTTTACACAGATGCCAAAGGGACCACCGTGTCTCCAAGAGAAAGTTCGGAGGCGCCTTGGCACGTGTCACCGCTGCTGTGGCCGGGGTGTGGGCTCTCTGTGCGGAAGCAGGTGCAGCTTGGGCCAGGAAAAGGCACCTCAGGGCCCCGAGGTGACAGACAGACAGGTGGGGGCCTGGGGGTGAGGGACGCATGGACATGCCCCTAAATACAAATGTGATGATGCCGTTTCTGGCCTTGACCCTTCCCCTGGCCTGGCTATTCCTGGGGAGCCCCCCAGGCCATGCAGCGCCTCACCTCCCGCAGGCCCCTCTGGTCGTCGTCCTCTCTGTGCCCTGTCCCTGGCTCAGGCCCTCACTTTCCCACTAGAGGGCCTTTGGGACGGCCTTCCATCTCCTCTTTCCCTGACTGACTTCTCCTCAGAGGGGCCTCCCTGACCCCCAGTCTGGCATCTCGCAGTTCCTTGGGGGAGCAGGCTCACCACTGCCTGTGACTGTGCCAGCTGACTTCCTGGACCCCTCTGGGTGCCCTGTGTGAGACGCAGGGAGGTGGTGCTTACTGCCTCGACTTCCCCACTCCTGCTCCCGCTGCCCCAGCCAGTGCAGTGAGCACTCTAGTCGAAGAGCCTGGAACTTCCCTTCTTTAGTCATTCCAGGGGTGCCTAACACACCTCTAGGCACATAAATGCCTCAGAAATGTCACGGTTGAAATACACCAAAGTCACACAAAGCCAGAAATTCAAGGCAGGCAGAGACTGTGCCTCTTCCACTAACAGAAGAAACCCCACAGCTTTGATGTCTGTCGTGTTAGGACGCTTCCTCTCAGGCCTTTCTTCGGCCTTTCTCCTCCCCTGCAGTCTCACAGCGTTTAAGAGTAGAGTAGATGTTTAACAGCTCAGAGTCTTCGAGAAGGGCTGTTCACAAAAAGTTAGGCCTGGAAAGGCTCGCAGGTGGTCTCCCCTGAAGCCATTATTCATCTGAAGAGGAAACTGAGGCCCAGTGAATGCCGACTGGATGGAGACCAAACGTCTTACATCGGGCGGGGCGGGGCCCACCCCGGGTCTCCTCCCCTCCAGGCCGTTGCCCTCCTGCCCCCCCAGCTCACCCCACTCGCCTGTGAGGCCTTGCTGAGTGCTCTGGTTTATGGGCCATCAGAAAGCTCCAGACCTAATGACACACACAGAGAACATGTGTCACCTGTTCTGTACTGTCTTTCTCTTGTCTACCCTAAACTTAAACTGGAAAGTCTATGGGAAAAGAAATGGGCCGTGTGATTGCCAGAAAAGCACAGATCACGTCTCTGCCTGGAGTCCAGGAAACTGTACAACCGTAACACCAGAGACATCCTCTGGCTCTTCCTGTTGTCTCAAGATCTGATTGAGGTTTGGAAACACCTTGTACTTATTTTAGAGGGGAGGAAGATCTGCAGAGCAGAGCAGTCTGAGCGGCGCATCTGCTGTGGGGCCGTGAGGGGCTGCCCTGGACCTGGGAATCAGGGAGCAGAGCTCGGGCGTGGGTGTCGGGCCACACAGAGCCCACCGGAGCCCTGCCAGGTCCCCGATCCTATTAAAATCTGGTCAAGTAACAGAACTAGGTCATCTCTTCTGTACCCCCAAGCCCAGGCACAACGGGTACTGTTCAAATGCAATGGCCACCACTTTGAGAAGCACTTACTCTCTCATTGCCAAACACTCTTCCGCTGGTGCCTCCCCACCTTAGATCTACGCCTTCGAGTAAACATCACTGGCTCCTTTTGAAATAATAACAGGACAGCCTATGCGATTAGATGATGGAATATGTCAACCAACCTTACCCCAAGGAAGTGTATTACATTATTATTAGGAACTTAAACAAAAAAAATACCTTTTCTCCTAAAGTCAGGAATAAGACAGGGATGCCCACTCACACTACTCATCAACCTGTTGGACTCTGGGCACGGTCATGCCTGGGACCAGAGATGTGACTCACCGCGGCCACTTAGGCGCTGGGAGGGATGAGGCCAGTGACGACAACACAGGCCTGTCGGGCCAGCGTTGGATGGCCAGGTGTCTCCAGGCCACTGCGCGGTTAACAGCTGCCACCACGACCTCAGCTTAGAGCCCTCGCTGGTCCCCGGCCAGCAGCGCTATCTGTCAAAAGCACCAACTTCCCCGCAAAGTCTCCAAAGTTTGGTCAGGACACGAGGGACTCTGGACACAGACACCTTCACAATCTCCAGCCCAGCCCTCTCTCCGGCCCCTGCGGTGCACCCACTTGGCGCCAGTCGCCTCAGCCCAGGAATGAATGGCAGGCGCGGGACACTCTGTACCCATGGCCCCAGCCGACCCTGTCACCCTTCGACCGTCGCCCGTGGGCCACCTGCGCATGTGGGTAGAGCTGAGGCGGCTTCCTTGGGGGCAAAGCCGAGGCAGATTGGGCTGCCGCTGCCACCTCCAGGACTGGCTGAAGACCTGCACAAAGTGTGGCGGGAGGCGGGCGGGCCTGGTGCAAGCACTCCCCGGTCCCCGTCTGTCTTACCTGGCTCCGCGGAGGCTGCGCTGACCCCAAGAAGCAGGACCCGAGGGCGAGCAAGTCCTAGAGGCACTGCAGCCCACAAGGCCCACGCCTCGGCGCCATGCTCGGAGGGCTGGAGCGTCTGTGCCGCGGGATGCTGCGGCCCACTCGGCCAGTCGTGCTCTGGCCACCGTGGGGACCAGGCTGGGGGCAGGGCTGGTCAGGGGGCGCAGCGATGGGTCGGGGGCACGAATACTGACTAGGGAGGGGGTCGGGGTAGGGGCCAGGGCAGGTAGGCCGCGGGGTACGGGGGTGCAGGTATTTGGGGCGCCTAGGAAACGGGGAGCAGAGCAGGGTGCAAACCCAGAAAGCAGCCACCAGCTGCTCCCTGGGTCCTAGCACCCCTGTGCTGCAGCCAGTGTTTCTCCCCCCACCTCCAGCCCCCAGTCAGCGTGACCTGCCCCTACCCCGGGAGGAGCTGCCCCCTGCCACTTCTGGAGGGGGCACTTGCAGTGCAGGGCCGCAAACCCGGGCAAGCTCCGGGGATGTGCAGTGTTTCCAGCTCGCCCTTTATTTGGGAAGGTGACCCCCACGAGGAGATTCGTCCTCAGGCCCTGAGTTCCGTGGGTCAGTGGGAAAGTGGGCGATTTGAACAAAAATGTTGCTCAACAGGGGGCAGCGGTTGGAGGAGGAGGAGGAGGAGGAAGCTGGGCTCCTCCTGCCCAGCCTCATGGGTGGTGTCGTAGCAGCTCATCCGGCCTCGCCTCCTCCACCGGCTGAGGTCCCAGAAGATCACAGACCCCATGTCCCGCTCCCCACGGAGCATCCCTGCCTGAAGCGCTCCTGGCAGATGGGCCTGAGCCATACGAAGGTTCCAGTGGCTGCACCAGTGTTCTCCTGCCCCCAAAACCTGGCCCAGAAGGCCCCTCTCCCTGCTGGAGGACCAGCTGCCCTCCCCAGGACTTTCCAGGCCCCCTGAGCTCTGAGCTGTGTCTGTCCTTTTCTGTTTCCTCAGGCCAGTGCTCTGCGAACCCCGCCTGACCAAAGGCCTCCAGCTCAGCTCCTTCCTCCAGGCAACCGCCCAACGAGTCCTGTGCTCAGACCACCCAACAGGCCGATGCAGGCCGCCAAAGCCCCTCACATCCAACCTCTCAGAGGAAACTCACATTTCCCTGGACCTGTTGCCCGCGGGCTGACAGGAAACCAGCTCCAGTGCCATGGCCCTTGGCTAGGAACTCTACTAAACCCTCTGGATTCCTTCCCCTCTTTCCCCATTGCCCTTTCCTGATCAGGGTCCATCTTCTGCCTGGACCCCTGGCCAAGCAGCGACTGCAGTGTAGACTCCTGCCTACCCAGACTCTAGGCCTCCCCACACCCCTCTCCTGCCCACCCCGGAGGCGTCCTGCTGGGCCCTCCCTGTGGCTCCCCTGACCTCACACCCAAGCTTGAAGCCCTACACGCACCTCGCACATCCATCCATTCTCCACCACCGCCTCCCTGGGCCTCGGCGTGTCCTGGGTCCTGATGGTGTCCCTTCCTGTGGCTCACAGCCCATCTGTCCATCTGTCCAGGGGCTGCAGCCCTGCTCCAGGGGAGGAAGGTGAAGGGCAGGGTCTCTGACCTCTTCCATGTCACCTGTCCTCCAGGCCCATCTGACTGTAGGTCCGGGAAGGAGAGGCTGGAGCAGGGCAGGCAGTGCTGGGTCCCTGCCCACCCTGGGGCCCGGGGTTTACCACCTCTCCTCCCTCTCAGGTTGGAAGCTCCCCAAGCAGGGGTGAACCCACCTTTGTGT